TGCTCGCGCGACCTATTTAAGAATAAATGCCGATATTTCAAGCTACTTTTCGTGTAACGTAATAAATTTGGTACCGATGTTTAGCTCAGGCATTCGACTTTGTACGCGCATCAACAGTTTGGCTTGCTATCGTATCAGGAATGTCGGACCATATTTCCACGCTCCCGCTTGACATAACCATGATCGCTTAATATGCAAGTGAAATCCCGCTGAATGGAATACTGTCTTCTCACTGGTTAAAATAAAATGACGTCCTGAGTTTATTGATATCTTAATTTTAGTTGGCCAATGAGAAGACAGACTTCACTTCAGCTCGTTGACGTAGCCCAAGAAAATGCTTTCCTAGCACACACAAGGATACAATGAATACACATGGATGTAGCTGATTGCTTCTTCTTCCTAGGTTAGTTCACATCGTACAGCATGTGTATGGTATTCGTTCGTCCTTAAAGTAAATTGTCGCTTGGGTCCAGAGGTTGCATGTCCACAACACAGTAACTTCCGACAATGCGCCTGAACTCGGCATCAATTGTGACACGTCGATTGCAGTCGTGCTCCCACATTTCTACTAATAGGTATCCTTGTTGAGTGCGTCGTTTGTATGCTTTCTCGTACAATTCTTCGTAGGTATTACTTAATGGAAATTTCTATTCTATAAGATTTTCATTCTGAAATTATAATTTAGAATGAAGCAAACATTAGGTAAGCTATCTATTTTCATGGGGTCCTGCGTGCCTTAATATTTTAATAGGAATAGGATTGGCAGAAGCACTTACAATTAATACAGAACCTTTCAACATAAATCGTTTATATTTCTCAGTAATAAAATCGAACGGGCCTTTTGTTTAACCCTACAAATGTATTGCTTTCAATACATGACCGTGACCTTGATCTCTTAGAAATAGGAGCACTTGGAAAGGTATGTCTTGATTTTGCTGCTTATTTCTCATTCTGTAGCAATCATAAATAATGTGCCCCTTTATCTTGCAATAGGTGCACGTGTGAAACGGTATGGATTTCTGGTCAGTCTTACCAGAAACTTGATTCCTGAAAGTTGAAACGGTTTTTATATTAGCAAAAGTCACTTGAGTGGAAGATTTATTGACAGAAGAAATATTTGTGAGTCAAGGAATAATCATTAGTTATTCGAGCTCCTAAGTTTCCGCCAGTTTCTCATCAAGAAAGGTATTGATATTACAATGGTTAACTCTTAAATAATATGAGTTGTCTAAGGTTATGATAATCTTGATCCACGTTTTAGAAGAGCAATACCTAGTAAATTGTCATACATTTTACCCAGCAAATTCGTCATAGGTTTGATTTTCTACAATTACTAAAATATTGTCGGTACCAACTCGACACCAGCACTTTGTTGTATTGCCAATAAATACACATTGTAATAATCAAGTCCAGTGCCATCTTGGCCATCTGCAATTTTCACAAAATGACGAGAATATTTATGTACATTTATTTCTTTAAAAGGGGATGCTTACTTGATATTTATTTTAACATCAGAAGCTTAACTTGTGTGGGTTTTCTTTCCACTTGTCAGTTTTTAATCTAAATTTAAAAGGCCTTCCTTACATTGCTCTTTCTCTCTGCATATTTATTATCTGTCTTCTTTTTTATTTGGTTTTGTATTAGCCTTTCTACTCTTTCTCTTTATTTCTCTCTTTCCTCTTTCTGTAACTGCATTTGTCTCTCATCTTTCTCTTTTATGCAACTGCATTTGTTTCATTTCTAATTTCATCTTGTGTTTTAATTTTAATTCCATTACTTTTATGCCACAACAAGGTAGAGACTTACAGATCAAACATAAAGCACTTTTATCCAAAATGCGTTTGGCAAGCTGTAGTAATTCATCCTTTAACAGGGACTCTAACCTTTCCTGGGTAGGATATAAAATAAAATTCTCCACATTGTGAAAACTTGTTGATTTCGCTATTTTTGCTTTCTCAAATATGCCAAATAATACCCAAGACTTAAAAATTCCAAGAAAAAGATAATTTGAATTTCAAACACAAAATTTTCTGAAATATTTTATAAACATTTGTATCCCGTACACGAGCATCCAGTTTTCTATTACTATTATATGGCCTTAAACTAAGTAATACAAAAGAGCAAAAACCAACAAGTTTTGTAAAATTCGACAAATAATTTTATTCCACGAAAATTCTAAAAAAATGGCAAAGTAGTTAGAAAACAAAGTGAAAAATTTAAAACTAACTTAGAGTAATGCGTATTAAATTCCAAATAGTCCGAAAAGTTTTATCACCAGTCCTAATGAATAAAGTTCTAATTATATTCCAGTCATGTTCGAATTAAAGATCCAGCGCTGAAGGCGTCGATGTGCAAGTCGTCTTGAATGTACTAATGTGCCAGTGTCCTAAAGTGAGATGATGTGCTAACAGTCTTACAATTAATCACAATAATATAATCCAAGCTGTCTTTGTCTTTATTCATTATAATTCTAGGTTAATGTTTCTGCTTAAGAATATTATTGATAGCAATTCATTTCCAATGAATAAATACATTCCACCCACATGAAATACTGAACACAACAATAAGACTGATTTCTGCTTCAATTGTTAAATACTTTTTCCAGGAAACAATGTAATAAAACACTCAACTTGACCAAGGTCACAATTACATTTACCCCTTCCCCCCCAAAAAAAAAAACCACCAACAAAATTCAAGCACCAAAATAAAACAAAGAAACCACTATACAATAAAACATTTGGTCAAATATACCTGTGATTAGCAATTATACAAAATGATGTTTTATGAACGACACATAATATACATGTAGCAATATAATACTTCAATAAATGTAAAAGTGCATCTACAGTTAGATTATATGCGTCTGAAGTCAATATTGTATTTTCAATATTGTATTCCTGCAACACCAAACTCGATCTTTAGAATCATTGAGTTTTGTTTTTCATCTTCCAATGAAAGAAAGAGGTTTGTGATCAATGAATACAATGACGAGCTGAACTAATATACACTGCAACATGTTGCACAGTCCATATCAAGGCCAAACATTCTCGATTGTGGAATAATGTCTCTGGTGATAATTTAATTTTTGTTTAGAAACATGAAGCACACTGGATAATCTGCACATATTTTTGAATGTACCATATCATGGAGAAAAAAAATAACAAACTAATATACATAACACTATGTAAAAAACATAATATCAGCAATATTATACCATATCGTCGTGCGTAACAAATACTTAAATGTACAGTTTGCAAAATATTAAATATTTATTATCGTTTTGAGTGTATGCAATTATATATTCAGTTATTCTCTAAAGAAGTTGTGCAGACATCTGAAAACATTCTCTTCTCAATGCTCGAATTTTATGTACAGTGAATGCACGACAATCAATTTGCAATCAACAGCAGTTTGTAATTAATACGCTACTCAATTTCGGCGAATTTATGTTTTTCATATATCTATTTTGATTGGGCTTGAGTGGGATGAGTGAATGGAGAGTTTAATAAAAAGAATCTGTAAATTTCTTTATTTCAGTGTATGGATGACTGTACTGCACGTCTTTTTTTATCATGCTATCAAAGTAATTTATCTTATACTTTCTTGAGGCAGCTGTGTCTGTGTTGTTTTCTGGAAGCAACACTTCTATTTTCACACCTTTAGTTCCCTCTTTATTAAATATAAGAATTAATTAACTATTACGTATTGATTGCAGGTTTTCCCTCAGTGCAGAAATTGATATGGATTATGGGTGCAATTTCATTTACATATTATGGAATATCATCAAATATGTTTATACACGATTGCAGCATTGAATGACGATGTTAAAGCTTCAATACAATGATCCTTATTTTTGTTGTTGCTGTTAGCTATAGGTAAAGAAGGTCAATCATGACTGTGTCTGTATTATCGTCACGAAGTAAATGACCTTGTTCAACTAGGCGGGACGTGCTTGGGCTTCGGAACGAGCTATTTTAGATTTATATTTTGATAGAGGTCAAAGGAAAAGTAGATGCTTGATACGTTTTTATTGATTAATTATTTTCTTATTTCCAGAAACAGAAACGTTGTTTAACGAATTTGTTATAGTTATGATCCACAGGAAATCGAAGCGAGTTTGATGTTGATAGTTTGATCAAGTGATGTTGATAGTTTGATCAAGTGTCACAACGAGTCACGGGAGTAATTTTCAGGTAATTTTGTCACTCAGAAATATTTTTTTTCCTTCAAATGTTTTCCCAACCCTTTAAGTTCGCTTCGAGTACTTGTTATGATCAAATTATTTCTGTGTAATGACCGATCCGGTGGCCTATTGGTTTGAGCGTAAGTCTCGGATGCGAGAAGTATCGGGTTCGAAACCCCAGCCGAGTCATACCAAAGTCTTATAAAAATGATACTAACAGCTGCATCGCTATGCTCTCAGCATTAAGAGGTAAGTGTTTGGACTGGTCGGCCTGGTGTCAGGATAATGTAACTGGCGTTGAGACGTGCTGGATCTGCTTCCTAACGGACTATTTATATTTCACTGGCTACATACTGTGCAGTGACTGCATGATGTGTATATGCCTCACATAATTGTCAAGAACAACACAAGCTGGAAAGAGAAAATTCACAATATATCTATATCTTTAATTAGCACAAAACAATAGCTCAAAATGTCACACATTTGACATGGGCCAATTTACGAAACTGTCCCCTGCCACCTTAAGAGGGATATAGTCAATACCGCGAGATTATGGTACCCGCAAGAATGTTTGTGTGTGTATGTGTGTGTGTGTGTGTGTGTGTGTGTGTGTGTGTTATTTGGATTTTTAACGTGGCTTTGACAATTTTGGCAGTTTATAGTGATGTATAGTTCTGGAGCATCATACCACAGACATATAGCATATCCAACCCAGTCGCTTTATCCTGACACCAGGCTGACCAGTCCTAACGCTAACCTCGTAAAGCTGAGCGCCTAATGAGGCAGCTGTTAGTACCATTTTTATAGGTCTTTGGCATGATTCTGCCGGGGTTCGAACCCGCGATCTCACGCATCCGAGGCGCATGCCTCTAACCACTAGGCCCCGCAAGAATGTGATAAACGACTATTTGTAGAGTCTAATCTTGAGAATATATTAAACATGAAGAGTTGTACTTAACCATTGTTAATAAATTTAGTATAATGACTAACACTGCGTTTGTATAATCCGATTCCTTAATAAAAAAAAAAATCAGCTTTTTAACAAAATTATTCACAAAGTTTTCGTGTGTACTATTTTTTTAGACTTAATTCATATGATGCTGATGTCATTGCATATTTAGGTAGCCATGTGCCGATTCTTGCTTTCATGTATGGCCTTTAGCACACGTTACCATTATTCCATTATTTGAAAAGAAGGCATAGGTTAGCGTACGTGATCTTTTATGATTTTTGTTTTTGCGTTTTAAAACATTGCTGTCTTTTATTTTCGCCGAATACATTGCGAAAAATTCTCGATGTTATATACGCCCTTTCAAACCTGAATACACCCGATACATTGCGGAAAATTCTCGATGTTATATACGCCCTTTCAAACCTGAATACACCCGATACATTGCGGAAAATTCTCGATGTTATATACGCCCTTTCAAACCTGAATACACCGGATACATTGCGGAAAATTCTCGATGTTATATACGCCCTTTCAAACCTGAATACATTCTGATAAAATAATGTCGACTTTACTTATGAATGGAGGGGGGGGGGAGTGGGCGGTATGAGCTTGCCATTTTAGAAGTTAAGCTTGATCGCCAGCGCTCTCAAGCGGAAGGCCTGTCACCTCTTCCTAAAAACAGAAACTCACAAGCGTCATCTCAGTTGCTCTCATTTTTACCTGCATGTGCTGACTAGATCGTGTGGTGGCCGTTTATGATTAAAAGGTATAGGTAGGTGTTGCAGTGTATTGATATTTTTGTTTATATACCTGTATAGATGCTACACGATAAGGTCACTATAGCTGACGATATTCTGCCTATTTGCTTGGACCACTGGAGTCCTGGACAGTGGGCAATCTGGTAGTTTTTATATGCAACCAGCAAAATAGACCATTTTGAACAAGATACAGTATAGGAAAATGAACATATAAATTACTCATATAAATAGTAACAGAAATCTTGATTTGCGTTCTATTTATGTATTATGTTTTGTAACAGATTCAATGAATTTATTTCAGTTTTCAGACATCATAAAAACTCGACAGTTAATCTGCCAGCTGCCTCAAATATGGATACTATTCAGGGACTATCTATATGTACGTGAGTCCGGCAGCTTCTGGAGTGTGTGTGTGTGTGTGTGTGTGTGTGTGTGTGTGTGTGTGTGTGTGTGATTTTGATTTTTTATATAGCTGTAACAATTCTTCAGTCATATCCTATGACATCAGCAGTGACAGTTTATAGTGATGTCTATCACTGAGGCATCATGCCGCAGACATGTAGCATGATGTCCCACCCAGTCACATTATCCTGACACCAGGCCAACCAGTCCTAACACTAATCTCTTAATGCTGATCATCAAGTGTGGAAGCTGCTAGTACCATTTTTAAAGTCATTGGTATGACTCAGCTGAGGTTCAAACCCACAACCTCCTGCATCTGAGGCAGGGGAGCTTCTCAACTCTAAATATATATTGTATAAAGTTAATTATTTCTTTGTTCTGTTTTTTTTTTACAACTTGTTTGAGTTTGAGTTCTTGTATTTGTTATGCATGTTTAATTTGCATTGTTTGTTTGTTAACTTTTGTTTAGTTTTTACAAACAAACTTTCAATATATGCTATGGGTAATGTAAAATAGCATAGTTGACCTTGTCTAATATCAGTAACAGTTTCATAAACAACATTGGTTATCTTTTCTGACTAATGGATTTATTATTATCTTAAACTGAGTCAAGGTTATTGTTTACCATGCTCATCACCGTAGTAACAGATCTTCTAATTATAACTAAGCTTTTGTTTTTATATCATTTGGAACCTTCAAGAATATTTTTTTTTCAATTAGGTAATAGTTTTTTTTTTTATAGAAAATGCTAATTGTGACCTAGGTTAAGTAGAGGAGCATAACAGTTTAGTTTACTGGAAAAAATATTTTTCCTGCAATGCCATCTAAAGCAGAAATCAGTCTTATTGTTGTGTTCTGTGTTTCATTTGGACTGAAATTTATTAAAATTATATGTTCACGTGAAATACAAAGTGCTCATCAGTTTCATTCTTAGAAATGAAACTTTGGATTATATGACTGTAATTTAACAAATAAACTGTTGGAGCATCAATGCAAATGAGGTTATTGTTACATTAGTATGTCAGAGACTACCAGCCAATATAGACACATCAGCATCTTCAGCATTAGAAATTGTTTGGAATATCACCAAAGTTTATTTAAACTTATTTATTAGGACTTAGTAATTCTAAGATTATTTTGGATTGAATTTACAATATAGTAAGTTATTTGTACATTTTCATTTTGTATTCTAGGGAAACAAATTATCTTCAACTACATGGAGAAATGTCCATGAAATTTTACACACACACACACATACACACACACACAAACACACACACACACATTGCTCCCAAGCTCTAGTAGATTCTAAATGAAAACGGTGCCGCTTATGCATACATTATGGCTGTCATGGCAGCCAGCTTGCAAATTTTGTTATTTCTATTCCACTTAAATAGATGAGTAACATAAGGTTTTACAGAGATTTGTTATGATGCCTAATTGATCCTAATTGAAAATGGTTTCTGTCTGATATCCAATATGGTCAATGTGGCAGGGGTCTTGAAAAAGTTTTTATTGTTGCTTTTCTGAACAGAAAACCATATCAACATGGAGTTTTCACTGAAGACTTCTTACAATGTGTAGTTGATCAGAAATAAAAATTATGCAATATGGTCATCACAGTGGCCATCCTGCTGTTCCTCCTGAATGGAATCTCATATCAGCATTGGTTTTGAACAAGGAGACTTTTTGTGGTGTCTAGTTGGACTTAACAAAAATCTCATTTCCAATATGCCTACTACAGTGGCCATCTTGAAAATCTTATAACCACTTCTCCAAGACACGTTCATACTGGGTTTTCACCAGAAGGTGTATTGTGGTGTATTGTGGTGTATTGTTTGTATTGTTATGATGATCATTATGGCCACTATGACAGCCATATTGTTATTGGCATTTCTACTAAATGAAAGTCCTATTGAAATGGGTTTCACCAGAAGACTTCATCTGGTGTCTCATTGATACTAAATGAAAGTCCTATTGAAATGGGTTTCACCAGAAGACTTCATCTGGTGTCTCATTGGTACTAAATGAAAAGTCGTATTGAAATGGGTTTCACCAGAAGACTTCATCTAATGTCTCATTGGTACTAAATGAAAAGTCCTATTGAAATGGGTTTCAACAGAAGACTTCATCTGGTGTCGCATTGATACTAAATGAAAAGTCCTATTGAAATGGGTTTCACCAGAAGACTTCATCTGGTGTCTCATTGGTCCTATTAAAATGGGTTTCACTAGAAGACTTTATATGGAGTCTCAATGGTACTAAATGAAAAGTCCTATTGAAATGGGTTTCACCAGAAGACTTCATCTGGTGTCTCATTGGTCCTATTAAAATGGGTTTCACTAGAAGACTTTATATGGAATCTCAATGGTACTAAATGAAAAGTCCTATTGAAATGGGTTTCACCAGAAGATTTCATCTGGTGTCTCATTGGTAATAAATGAAAAGTCCTATTGAAATGGGTTTCACCAGAAGACTTCATCTGGTGTCTCATTGGTCCTATTAAAATGGGTTTCACTAGAAGACTTTATATGGAATCTCAATGGTACTAAATGAAAAGTCCTATTGAAATGGGTTTCACCAGAAGACTTCATCTGGTGTCTCATTGGTAATAAATGAAAAGTCCTATTGAAATGGGTTTCACCAGAAGACTTCATCTGGTGTCTCATTGATACTAAATGAAAAGTCCTATTGAAATGGGTTTCAACAGAAGACTTCATCTGGTGTCTCATTGGTACTAAATGAAAGTCCTATTGAAATGGGTTTCAACAGAAGACTTCATCTGGTGTCTCATTGGTACTAAATGAAAGTCCCATTGAAATGGGTTTCACTAGAAGACTTTATATGGAGTCTCAATGGTACTAAATGAAAAGTCCGATTGAAATGGGTTTCACCAGAAGACTTCATCTGGTGTCTCATTGGTCCTATTAAAATGGGTTTCACTAGAAGACTTTATATGGAGTCTCATTGGTACTAAATGAAAGTTCTATTGAAATGGGTTTCACCAGAAGACTTCATCTGATGTCTCATTGGTACTAAATGAAAATTGTGCTGACAGTCATTATAGCTGTCATTAAAATCTTGTTATTGTTGCTTTTCCTAAATAAAAGGTCATTTTGACATGAGTTTCACCAGAAGACTCAATGATATCTGGTTGGTCCTAAATGATAATGGTGCCAGTCTGATGTTAAAAGTTATTATACAGTGTTCTGTACCTTTTGGATTTTATCAAACTTGTATAGATCAATGTATACTATCCACTTATTATTACATAATAAAATGACCATGTTATTACATTACAACAAGAAATGTGTTACAATGAAGGGTCCCACAGAGAGAGACAGTGTTGTATCTAAGTTACAATAAATTGTGATGTATGTTATTACAGGAAGTGTACTACATTATGAAGGGTTTGAGAGAGAGAGAGAGAGAGAGAGAGAGAGAGAGAGAGAGAGAGAGAGAGAGAGAGAGAGAGAGAGAGAGAGTAATGTATCTAAGTTACAATAAATTGTGATGTATGTTATTACAGGAAGTATGTTACATTATGAAGGGTCCCAGATAGATAGAGAGAGAGAGAGAGAGAGAGAGAGAGAGAGAGAGAGAGAGAGAGAGAGAGAGAGAGAGAGAGAGAGTAATGTATCTAAGTTACAATAAATGTATTGCAATGAAGGATTCTGTAGTGAGAGAGTTCTGCTATCTTCTTGACTATCAAACAAGAAAGTCCAAAGAAAATATTGATTGTGATCTATATGCTGTAAACCATAACTAGTACA